TGTGTGTGTGGTGAAATATTGAACCAATGTGCCAGAATCTGGACAAGAAAGGCTAATCTTATCTCATCTATTCTTATTCGATTGTATCATATCCTATCTTATCGTATCCTGTCTTATCTTGTCTTATCTTATCTCATTCTCACTCCGCACAGTCTCATCTCTTCAATGAGACCCCCCACCTCCTTATACCTTCTCTCCCCACTCACTCCTTATGTCAAAGAGTCGAACGGTGTCAATGTAAACAAAATTGACTTTTTGTGCAACCATGTTTACTGACCAAGTGAATGTTGCAGAAAATCTAGCTGAAATGTGGTATCTGTGTACGTTCATGCTTATGATAGGTACTGGTGACTGTAAACATTTTTAAAACGTTTGATTTTCCTGTCCTTTTAAGTCGGGTAGATTGTGTTCGATGAGGCACACTGATAGTTAATTTCTATACATTTTTCACCCCCCCCCCCTCTTCTAGTCACAGAAACTGCTGAAAGAAAACTATTTTCAGCGAATGAGTTTACTTTATAATACCTTACGGTAAGAATTAATACTCTCATTCAGTATTGTAAAATTGTTTCTGATTCCTAACCTCTTGATTTAATTTCCGTGTCTAAGTGGGTAGCAACTCTATTGAAATTCCCTGAATAGCCCATCTTCATCGACTTCCAGTTTCGTCAGCTTTTTATCCAGTGTGACAAAATTAGGCTAACAGTGTGCTCTTCCGTCCGTCTGGAACAGTAATTTCTTGATGTTCAAAACGATTCATGAGAAAAATTCGTTTTTTATTTTTTTAAATCTCTCCCATCTTTTTTGAGCATTCAGCGACATGCAATACATCAATATAAATATAACGTAACTAGCTGGGCCACCTTTCGATGAAAGGTCTGATCGGTGCATTAACATCAACTGAAAGTCATTGACCTACTATTTTTACACTCAACTGGAATGGAGCAACAAACCTTGAGAGAAAAGTGACACATGTGTTTCTAAGTTGCCAAATGTATAATAGATTTATAGATTGATTCTCTATTCCGCTTTCGAGGTTGTACACACCAGAATTTCAAAGGTATGTAAACAGTGTGCACGGCCAGTGAACGGAAACCTCTCTTGTTTACAATGGCGTCTTAGAAGACGCACTTTCCCAAGATTAGATCTAAACTAAAGTAATGAGAAACTGAAAATTAAGCCACAGTAACTTCAGGCTCCTCAATGAAAATGTGCACCCTTTAAATGATTCTGAACCAATATTAATTTTGTCAAATTCAAAAGTTAAGTGGTTCGGCCAAAGTGACCGACGTTCACAAACATAATATTTAGAGATGCTTGGCTCATTTTGATTTTATAGGGGTTGATATTCACTGGATGTCCGCCCCCACCTCCCACGCCCGCCCTCGTCTCTTTTGGTTTGTCACTTAACGTAAAGTGTAGTCCGACATAATATTCAAAGGAAGCGTATAGTTAAAATTATAACAACTATTTCCAAGTAATCTAAAAAGACGAAAAAGTAGACTCTGTCGTTATTCTGAGAACATTCCAACTCATGACATCGTTTTTCCCTCCAGAATGATGCGCCTGTTACGCCAGAAGGGCAGTGTGACGTCATCCAACTGTCACGAAAAGCCGAACCATCAGCTGCTGCTGCCAGGCGACGTGGGCTATGGCGTCCACAAACAGTTCAGACCGGAGGGACAAACGGCTGTCAGACTCAGCAACTTCCTCTCGCTCTATCTGCAGGTATCTAACTCCTCCCCCCGCTCCCGCACGCCTACCATTTCCACAGCCACACATACACACAAACGTACACACATATACGCAAACAAACAAACTTGTACACTTTCACAAAAACACATGTTCCCATACACAAAACACACATGCGTACATACACAAGCACATACGAACGCGCTCACCCACACCCTTACATTCACATTGTCTCTCTCTCTCTCTCTCTCTCTCTCACACACACACACACACACACACACACACACACACACACACACACACACACACACACACACACACACACACACACACACACAGGGAGAGATTGAGAAAAAGAGAGAGGGGGGGGGGAGGATTGAAAAGAGATTGAATGAACGAGAAACACAGGGAGAGCCGAGGATAGAATCAAATAGAAGAGCGAACATAAATAATTTATTGAATATAATATATGAAAACATAAAAAGACATGTATTTTGAAAGTCTCCCCTAATCTCCAACATTTACCCTCTTCCCTATCCCACCCCCTCCCCAACCCATTTATCTTTTTCTCCTAAACACATCTTAAACCTCTTCCTCCTCCCTCCTCACCCCACCATCAATGCTTTCCTTCCACCTCCCCAAACCTTTCTCCCCCTTCTTCCCTCTCCTCATCATTCCAACCCTACTTCCCCCCTTTCTGACATAATCGCAATCCCCAAACTTCCGTAAATTCTCCTCCTCCTCCCCCCCCCCCCAACCATATTCCCTCTCTCCTTTCCATCCTCGTCCTTACAGAACGTAATGAAAACGGAAAATTTCGGCAATCTCCGTGGGGGGCAACAGCTTCACGAGGATCAGCTGTTTGGTGAGGTCTTAGCCAACGTTATGGGCAACTTCAAAATCTACTCCGCAGGACTCTACTTTGACAGGTGAGTCTCTCCACATACTGGTAGTTCTATAGGAGATGGGACAAATTTCGTTCCTTCTTTACGCTCAAAGTTGTTATCCCCATTGTTTTAACTTACGGCAAACAGCCCAGACTCCAGTACACTCTCAGGTAACAGAAAGAGTGTTCCAGAGGCCCACATCAAATTCAGAGATCAGTTAGTTTCTCTCTCTCTCTCTCTCTCTCTCTCTCTCTCTCTCTCTCTCTCTCTCTCTCTCTATCCCTCTCTCTCTCTCTCTGTCTCTCTCTGTCTGTCTGTCTGTCTGTCTGTCTGTCTGTCTGTCTGTCTGTCTGTCTGTCTGTCTGTCTGTCTGTCTCTCTCTCTCTCTGTCTCTCTCTGTCTCTCTCTTCACTACTCGGACAGATTGTATGGAAATGAGGATATACATAATAATAGTGTATTGTAATATATTATGGATATACATGTGTGTATGCTTGTGTATGTGAATGCATTCGTGCGTATTTATGTACGTGTTCGTGTGTGCGTGCGTGTGTGTGTGTGCGCGCGCGTGCGCGTGTAATATGTAAATTATTGTTCAGCTCTCTTATGGTAGTTAACTTGGAGTAATATTAAAAGTTACTCCAAGGTAGTGAAGATTCTAAAATAAAGGGACGCGACTCATGCTACCTAATGCATCTGCACAAACATGATCATTCCCCTTTGGGAAACCCTCTTTGCCCATTCCGTAAAAGCTCTGAGTTTCTTAATTGCTTTCTGCGTTTCAGGTACAAATTCCAGAACGATGACGGTACCTTTCGGCAATTCTTTGGGCCGTGGGCTTTCAGGAAGCGTGGATCCTACTTCATCATTGACACAGCTGGTTACTCCAGCTACTACACCGATGAGGATTGGTTTATGCGGGCGAAATCAAGATTTGCAACAAACTTTCAGGGTCTGAAAACCTTTAAAATCAGGCCGTATATAAGGTGAGGAAGGCCTGCGGTATGGATAGACTATTTTTAGTTGCAATTGATTAAGTAGTGGATCTAGATTTAAATCAGTCTCATAATATAAACAAACAAGGGGTGAATGCTATTTTTTTTTCGTCGAAAAGCAGCGTGGACTTTTGTACACATTACGGTATGATGATGAAGTCGACAACAAGGACATATGACAGGTTATACTACTTTTTATTCTTGATTAAGGTGTTTTTATCGCCCCCATCAACACAGTTTAGATCATTTTCTTGGCGGGCTTCCGGCCCTGCCCGTATCACGGCCAGTCTGAGCTGAGAGGGATACAACATCCCAGAAGAAACACAGAGATTCTCGATAAAAATTTTCTCTCGAGTCGGGAACCGAACTTGGGTTTCCTACATGCAACAACGACACGTCTAACCGCTATGCCATAGAAGCCGGTACAGCAAGAGACTGATTATGATGTCGAAGAGATCTAAGGGAGGAGACAAGGAAAAGACGGAACACCGGGAAGGGAAAGCCGGTTTGGGAGGACGATAAGGAAGGTAAAAAAAGGAGAGAGAGAGAGAGAGAGAGAGAGAGAGAAAGAGAGAGAGAGAGAGAGAGAGAGAGAGAGAGAGAGAGAGAGAGAGAGAGA